ATGCATACTCTTTTTTTAATGCTTAATGTGAGCATCAGGCTTTGATGTGTTTAAAGAGAACAACATAATTTCTTCCTAGATTAATACAAATCTTGTAAGCACTACACTCACTAGATGCTATTTAGCAATGTTTGAAGCATCACTGGCTCTGATCAATGTGCAATTAGGACTTTTTCCACTTTGAAAATGTTTGCATTTAAACTTACCAGTAAGACAGAAGGTAAATACATTCCTATTTAACCAAATATAGTCTATATATGCCTGTTATATGTTGACGTATCGTGTTTTCTTTTGAAGATGTATAACTGTACAGAGGTAAACAGGTGAAACCCACTCTTATTCTAGGCTAAAACAGGCGAAAGCTTCTGACTGCAGTTCTGTGAAGAAGCAGGAGATAGTTTGGATTTTTGGAACTTGAGAAATGAAAGTAACCAAAGTTAGGATTTCTTTTATAAAACAAAATATTCTGAGTCAGACAGGAGTTCTGAAAGCTGCTGTTGAAATGAGCAGTCTGTAATTTATCAACATTTCTGATTCCCTTTCACCAATATTTCTTTTCTATTACTGTTTTCTGTTTTTTGACGGCAGTTCAGGTGTATATAAAAGCTTTTAATTTATTTTGTAGAACATAACACGAGAAGGATGCTGACGTTCTTCTATTTTTTTGTTTTCCACATGAAAATAGTTCTATTTAATTGATTCTACTTCTAGAAATAGAATGAAGACAAACAGAGGAACTCTATTTACACTGATTCTATTTTTCTAGATTTCCACATGGTCCATAAGTAAATTAGTACATTAATGTCTGGTAAATAATGCTTCAATCTGGCTGTTTATTTTGGATACTATTACATTACAGATAAGATAGTGTTATATTGTCTTTTATAATTGTTAAAAGTGATTTTATATTTGAATAAACTTTGGCTGATTCTTAGTGTTGTGTTTATAGATGATGCCACTAAAAAAGAAAATAGACATAAGGAGCTATTTAAACAGCAAGCAATAAAGGATGATGATAAAAGGTTGTTACATTTAATCCTTTACTATTATAAACGCACTTGTAGAATAGAAACATTATATGATTGTAGGAAACAGATATAATGATGCAGGGCAGCCTCAGGGTGAAGCAGCTGCCCTTCACTGCTGCATGATGGAAGAAATGTGTTTGGAACGTTACCATAAAATAAGGGTTGAAACTAATGATTATTCTGCAAATTGATTAATCTGTTGATTATTTTTTTGATGAATTGATTAATAATCAGATCACCCAAAGGTTCCTTAAAGTAGATTTTTTTACGAAATGACCCCAGGTGAAACAGAAACGTTTCCTCTGGAGGAGTTCTGGATGGAGAATATTGACAGACTAAAACTTTTTTTTTTGTCCTAAATGCAAAATGTTTACATATTTTTTCATAATCTTGGTATAATTCCTGCTCTAAGTGGGTCGCTCTATTGGCTAAAGGCACATTTTAGTGGCTCTATACTCCAGTTATTGATTAATCAATTACTAAATCAGTTGACGATTATTTAAATTATTGATAGATGTGATTAATTGTTTTAGCCATAGAACAAATTTATGAAATGGGCTACATAGACTAACTACAACCCAGATGTACAACTTGTATAGTGAAGTTAATATTTCAAAATCCTCAGTGTCAGTTCCTTTTATAGTTCCAGTGCACATGTAAATACAATACATTTATTTGCCGTCCGTTGAATGTATTATTTTGCATGACAAAGAGAGAGCATATTAGATAAAAAAATAAGAGTGGGTTTCACCTGTTATACATCTTCAAAAGAAAACACATGATACGTCAACATATAACAGGCATATATAGACTATATTTGGTTAAATAGGAATGTATTTACCTTCTGTCTTACTGGTAAGTTTAAATGCAAACATTTTCAAAGTGGAAAAAGTCCTAATTGCACATTGATCAGAGCCAGTGATGCTTCAAACATTGCTAAATAGCATCTAGTGAGTGTAGTGCTTACAAGATTTGTATTAATCTAGGAAGAAATTATGCTGTTCTCTTTAAACACATCAAAGCCTGATGCTCACATTAAGCATTAAAAAAAGAGTATGCATCTTTTTGCAAAGGACCAATGACATTAGACCAATGAAACTGAAGACCAACAGTGTCCCTGCCAAAGCTGAAATCAAACCTATGCCTTTGATATTCTCTCTTGCCTCTAACCAAGAATATAATCCATATATGTAGCCCACTTCTCTGTTGTTTTTGATCCATCGCCATTCATTCTGTCATGTAACAACTTTTTACATAGTGCTAATAAAATGACATTAAAGGGGCCACTTATCCTCCAGAAAATGTGTCTGTCTGACTTGTTTTCTGTATGTTTCCTGCATATCACTAACCTTTTCCCAAGCTCATAATGCTTTCTGCAGCCACGGAACAACTGCTGTTAAAATTAAATGTAACATCTAAGTAACGTAGTACCTGTTTTCTGGATACACCCCCAATGAAAATGTAATTAGACTCTTGCACATTTGGATCTTGTTCTAGTACACATAAGTAAAGGTACTGACTAGTGGTCAAAGGTAGTGGGAAATAGATAATAGTTCATAATAAATAAAAAAGATGAAAGAATCCAGTATCCAGTTCTCTCTTGAAAAAGAGACACACCTTGCCTATATTGTTCCCCAGCCAGTAGCCTACCCGTTATATGGCGCCATCTGCAGACTGAAAGAACATTTATGTGACGTGGTTAATATATATATATATTATAATATATATATATTATAATATATATATATATATATATATATATATATATATATATATATATATATATATATATATATATATATATATATATATATATATATATATATATATATATATATATATGTATATGTATATGTAGGAGACAGAGAACATGAGCTATGGGGATCATCAAACCTCCACTGGCTCAACTAAGCAATTTTTTTCTTATTGCACTAATAACACTTTTAATAAGAAATGTTCCTGTTAATTTAATTTTAACAGCAGTTGCTCCATGGCTGTATAAAGCATTATGGAAAAAGGTTGGTGATATGCAGGAAAATATACAGAAAACAAGTCAGACCGACAAATTTTCTGGAAGACAAGTGTCCCCTTTATTGTCATTTTATTAGTACAATATAAAAAGTTTTTACATGACAGAATGCATGGCGATGGATCAAAAACAGTGAAGTAGGCTACATCTATGATTATATTCTCAGAAAAAAATAAATAAATAAATAAATGGGCTTGGTTGGAGACAAGACAGAATATAAAGGGAAAAGTCGGACGGCCTCTGCCGGATTCGAACCTGCCACGAAGCAAAAGATTCGCATCAATGGCAGTAACTTAACCCACTACGCCACCTCTCGGTAGTAAGAAGTGGTGAAACATTCATAGTAATCCTGGTGAATACAAAACATTAGTTGGCAATGTAAACTGTATTTACATGAAAATAGGCATGGAATGGATTCAAAATAACAGCAAAGTGTAAGTAGTGGATATATTCCTAACATTAAGGCTTTGTGAAACGGCAATGCAGTGAATTCTGGCAATGCTGCAACTTTGAGCTCTGTGCAGTTTTCCACAAAGCAGATCTGTGCTGAACTTTCTTGGTCTGGCTGCCTTGATCAGAGATTGGATGCAACCAGTTCAAATGCATTGGCTGTGGGAAAAGAAGGAAGGACATCATTATCATATTAGGAAAACGCGCGTTAAATACGCGCGTTCTGACCGACACAACGCGCGTATTTAACGCGCGTTCTGACCGACACAACGCGCGTATTTAACGCGCGTCTTGCGGTACTATCATGACGCGCGTAAAAGGCGGCGCTTGTTGGTAAAAGACGGCGTAAAAAGCGGCGTAATCTCGGGAGAACGCGCGTTTTTTGCGGGTTAACTTCAATCTTAACGCGACAATTCAATGCGTAATGTGACCTTCTTGGCTTGCCATACAAAGTCAATGGTTGACGCCCGTCAAGGCGCAGCAATATGGCAAGCCAAGAAAGGTCATATTTCGCATTGAATTGTCGCGTTAAGATTGAAGTTAACCCGCAAAAAACGCGCGTTCTCCCGAGATTACGCCGCTTTTTACGCCGTCTTTTACCAACAAGCGCCGCCTTTTACGCGCGTCATGATAGTACCGCAAGACGCGCGTTAAATACGCGCGTTGTGTCGGTCAGAACGCGCGTTAAATACGCGCGTTGTGTCGGTCAGAACGCGCGTATTTAACGCGCGTTTTCCTAATATGATAATGATGTCCTTCCTCCTTTTCCCACAGCCAATGCATTTGAACTGGTTGCATCCAATCTCTGATCAAGGCAGCCAGACCAAGAAAGTTCAGCACAGATCTGCTTTGTGGAAAACTGCACAGAGCTCAATGTTGCAGCATTGCCAGAATTCACTGCATTGCCATTTCACAAAGCCTTAATTTTAGGAATATATCCACTACTTACACTTTGCTGTTATGTTGAATCCATTCCATGCCTATTTTCACGTAAAAACGTTTTGCATCAACATGCATCGCCAACTAATGTTTTGTATTCACAGGTATTACTAGGAATGTTTCACCACTTAATACTACCGAGAGGGGGTGTGGTGGCTTAAGTGACCGCCTTCAATGCTATCCTTTTGCTTCGTGGCGGGTTCGAATCCGGCAGAGGCCGTCCGACTTTTCCCTTTATATTCTGTCTTGTCTCCAACCACAGGGGCGGATCCAGGATTTTTCAAAGGGGGGTGCGCACCTAAGGGTCATGGGGTCACGGGGTCAAAGGTCAAGACAATGTGAGGCTAAAAGACCAAACAATACCATCTTCACTCTTTCACACTACCCTAATTATTCATCCAAGGGTTTTTAATTGATCATTTTAATGGATGAACATAAGTAGAATTAGCGTGATTACTTTATTGTAATTAAAAAAGGATCTCTCGGTTTTCTAAAGCATGCACAAGGTTAAAAGGTAGTTTGAAGAAAAAAATGATCCTCATCAACAATTAATCAAACAAGGAGTTTCTTTATTTCCAGAAATGATATTTACACAGAACATGAAATAAAAAAAACCCAAGGACTTGGGTTCAAGTATGGTTCAAGTAAGACAAAGGAGTTTTGAATATATTTTAACAAGATAAACTGTTGAAAAACAAAAAAAAACAAAGTTAAACCAGACAAAGAATATTGTTCTCTACTACAAACTTTATGATGATGATAATGGGTTTACAAATGTCAAACTTCTGGGATGCTTCTGGGCAAATATGTCTATGATTTTGTTGATGTTTAATTGAATGTCCTTGTGCACATACAAAAGTAGCAAAGCCACAAACCTTTCCTGTCCCATTGTTGACCTCAGCAAAGTTTTCACTGCTTTAAGACCCGAGTTAGCACGTTCCACAGAAGCACTGGTAACAAGTATGACTGACAGAAGGTGAAGAATCATATAAATGCTTGGGTAGCACTTCATATTTGTTATCTTTAGAATTTCAGGGAGAGAGCTGGGTTTTTCCACTGATGATGACCACTTTGTGTGCCACAACTTCACTTCCTGCCTGAATGTTGATCCTGACGGTAGATCATCTTTATATGATGTAAAAATGAAAAAAGTCATACTTGTCCAGCCAGTCCCTCTGGCATGTTCTTTTGGTCTCCCCACTGGCTCTTCGGTTGTCTTTAAATTCTCTGGCAGGGAAATTGAAAGATTTGGGTTTTCTGGTCTGAAGAAGTTGGAATTTTCCAGAGTCGTCCATTTCACTAATCCGGTCCTTGGCCTTTGATATATCTGTAATAAGATTGATATTTACATTGTCAATTTTGTATGGGTGCTGGTGGAGTTGTTAATCTGCCTACATGAAGCTTTTGTATAGTCTTGCTTTATTATGAAATAATTATTATGAAATGTAAGATTTCAAGATTAAGCAAAAAAGTCAATCGTGTAAAACAAAAACAAAATTATTTGTTTTGACATTGAAAAAAATACAACTATTACTAACCTATGTCGTAAGTTGTTTGGGGCAAATCCGCTTGGTTGAGCGCCGGCTCTTCAGTTGTCTTTACATCGAAACACGGTCCTTGTTGTTCATCTGGAAAAGAAAATAATTTTCGTGATCAGGTGAACCTTGTAATCTCAGGAGGAGCCACAAAACAATTTATTGTTGTGTTTTTATCGTAAATTATTAAATTCACTGAACACATATCACCTGGTGCACAAAACTGAATATACTTAAAAGTAAATTGTATTTTTATTGTAAAATATTAAATGCACTGAAAACAAATAACAGCAGATTTGTAGTTATTATATCACAATGTTAACAAGACTCCCTTAGACTCCAAGCATGTGCTTAGAGCATTTATTGATTTGGATCCTTACCAATTGATAAAAGTTAGTAATGTTTTCATAAAGGATACCATTCTTATTTTTAACAGTACAACACATGTGGTACCGGTTTAGACCCAAAAATACAACTCAAAAGAATATATTGTATGCATGGTCCAATGGCAACTCAATGTTGCTGTTTTTTGTTAATTGTATACACTATTTTTTTTTACTTAATTATATTAAACACTGCAATTTTCAGAACTTGGGCCAGTATTCCTACATTGCATTACTTTGCAACTTTAAACAACCGTTGTTTTTCTACAATCAACGCAATGTTCCCCCCTATCTTGCTTTTTCAGTTTCTCATAATTTTCCTGAGCTATCATATACCTTTTATCTGTATTGTGTCTACATTATCCTGAAACGTTTCATACTGTCAACGCTTTGTGGTCTCATTTCTCCTGTAGTGTGCCAAGTGTCACTGAAGAATAGAAAACAAAATTGGCTCTATAATAAAACATTTAATTCTGTGTTATTTAGTTATAGTCAAAGCCTAATAGAAAATAAGTGAATTAAAATTAAGTTGGGGTTTCTATTTCCCCTTCTGTTTTGGTGTGGACAGAATCTTAATATGAGATGGTTGTCTGGTTTTCTTGTCTGGGCCGGTAATACGCTTCCAGGTTGCCGCCTCTTGCTTCGCATCGACGACATTGTCGTGGTATGGCAGCACGATTGGGCATATAATCGTGCCCGCCGTACAATAACGCGTCTGTTCCACAACCCGTTATTTTTACGCAGGGGACGCGCGGCGCGGTGTTTTTACGTCACCGCGCATTTCCAGAAAGAACGCTCCGCACGGGGGTTCGACTGGCGTAGCGCGAGGGGCGGTGACGTATTGTACGGACGAGTGAGGGCCACCATGGCTTCGCCATATCCCAAAGGGGGGGTGCAGCTCGCGCCCCCGCGCTACAGACGCCCCCGCTGAATCCGCCGCCCGGCCGGACCACACTGAACCAAGCCCTATTTATCAAGTGGGTTTGACTTATGGCTCCCACTTACTTGTTTATTTCAGTGTCTCTTTATTTTTATTGTGTGATGCTTGTAGGCATTTACATATTGAGATCTCTGTTTCTCTTTATTTTTGATTATTCTTTTCTGTGGATTGCTCCCGTTTTTTGTGGCATTTAACTAGTCTTCATACTTTGTGCTGTTTATAATCCATTCACAACTTTTTTAAACTCGTACTTTCAACCTTAGCGTAGTAGATATAATTCGCTATTATCTTTTTTTTTTTTTACGTTTTAATACTTTTTTATATCCTAGTGTTATAAATATTTAACTTTTTATGCCTTTTTTTCTCCATAGGACAGAGGCATGGTAATATCAGAATATTTCCACAAATTTCAGCAAAGCTGCAAGCTATTACTTTGTGCTTTTAACATATCTTCAGCTACTGTCAGCTTAGGATAAGAAAAACCATTACAATTTTTTAAAATGTTTTCGTTATGCCCTTTTTGCTAATTACTGTTTACCGGCCCCTTCGTTCATGTAATCTTTTATCTCAGTTTTGCCTGCAGTGAAGTTTCATAACTTTTTTAATCCAATTTTTACAGATTTTCAATTTATTAATATGGTAGGGTCTCTATGGACGGAATGTGCAGCTGCGCCTTGATGGGGGCCTCTCCGCTAGCGTGGTTCTCATACATTTCATACCTTTTGGCCCGATACAGCCTTTCAACTCCCTCGCCTCATTTTTTACCCCTATCTAGGATAATTTTACATCACTCATATCGTACTCGTACGTAGGATTTTTGTCAGGGAGATTCAGGAAATGTAAACCCCTCATTCTGTTTGTGACATCTTAGAGTTTGTCCGACTGTTTTCGTGGCCCACCCAGACCACGAAGAAGATTGAAGTCCACACTTCGCCTAAAGTAGAAATCCAAATGAGAGCTCTCTGAAAATCCTGAACTGAAAATTACAAATAAAAAAACAAAAAACAGACTCTCTTTTTTCGTATATCGCTCCCATTCGAGAACTACTTCCCGTTCGACCGTGTATCCAACACGAGCCTTGGGGATGTTGTTTCTCCTCATGGACCTTCTACACACTCACATTGTTGTACTGTTGTTTATGCTTCGAGTATCTTATATCGTTTTTAGCTATGAAAAAGGTTTGTTCGTGGGGCGTTGTGCGCGTGGTTGGTTTTGGGTCTGGGGGTATAGCTGGAGTAAACAAAAAATTCTAGTCCGAACCCAAATATCAGGTTTTGAACAATATTTATACAATTTTTTACATCGTCACCACCCACGCCTAGGACGAAATTATTGTGATGAAATAGGAAAGTCCATACCCCAGTTTGTAGTCAAAGATGGCTGAACGGCTCACAGGCGGAGAATAAATAAGTATTTTTGAATTACCTAATACGGGTTTGTGGCTCTACCGCCCTCGTTTTGTGTTCGGTGCGGAAAAATTTTTGGCTTTTTGAGAGTTCTGCGCCTTGACTCATTAAGCTGCATTGTTCCGGTATTCAATGAAGACCAGCAGTATCTTCTCAAACCTTTTTATTCCTCTTGCCCATTAAGGTGTGAAATGAGTACATCCATGAAAGTTAATCCCAATCGGAGACCAAAGGATAGCTCTCGCTTAGGCTCTTGAAAGAATTTTTTAGATACCATTTAGGGTTTGTTTGTCTTCAGCAGCACCTTGTTTGGGTGTTCTAGTGCTGATATAATATATGCAAAATTGACTGAGATTCTGATTGGAACGAAAGGTGATGGCGCGTGGATCTCTTGGTCACTCTGACAGGCTCGGGGGTGAATACGGGTAGTCATAGGGTATACCAAAGTCATTCAAGATACAGATTTTACCTCCACCACTTTAAATCATGCACTGTTGATACCTTGTATTGGAGGAAGGAGATCAACACTGAGGATTTTTCATTTAGGGGTGAGGGGAATACTTCTGAGGACGACTGGCCTTGTCCCCCCTGCCCCCCCGTGCTCTCGCTTCCCGGAGGAGGTGAGTCGGTCTATAAAGAAGACGACGGGGATACCCTGTCGCTAATGATAAATGCCACACGTCAGGTTGAACGAAGAGGGGTTTACTCACCAGGCATATGGGTTCCAACATTTATGATCGAACTCAACCACTTTTTTTTTTTTAATATTGACTCATTAGGGGGGAATTTTTTCAAAACCACACCCACACGCAAAAGCATATATTGCACAAATAGTAAAAGCCTCCCTTGGCCACCTTCATCCCTACTGCCCTAATAACAGGGGGGGAAGGAATAGAGTGATTTAAGATTGGAAAGTCATGCTAAGTGTCATGCTGGGTTTTTAGGCCCTTTTGCCTCAACACACTAACCATGCTAGGGACTGTCAAAATAAAGTCCTCCAGTGACCCGACAAAATAAAAGCCTCATATATTATACTTGTTGTATTTATTGTGCTAAAAATGGTCCAGCATTATGACCCAAACTCTACCAGCTCTGATTCTATTTAGTCTCTAGGGACCTTTTCTTCAAAACATACCCTGGAGCAGTTCGGTTGAATTTTCACAATTATAATAATCTCCTCTTTACGCTTAACAGAGCGCTATTAACCCAAAATAACATGGGGGTAAAATACAAGTGGGTGATTTCATATTTAGAAATGGTTTTCTATATCACTGTGGGGCATGACCCTGTCCCTTGACACACATCGATGGATAGATATTACTTTCTATATAAGACGAAAGGACTTACTACTCAAAAGTACACAAGCCTCTTGTGCTTACTTACACTCATATCATTGTGCCATATGGCTGTCAGCTTTGACCCAAAATATCTCAACCATTTTCTTTCAAAAGTACACAACCAAGGACCAGGGCCTTTGTTGACCACACACCTCAGTGCATATTTTCTAATCAGGTTCTAAGATTTACACCTGTAATAATAAACGCATTGCTAACCTCCGTCGTTACATGCAGCCCCTAAGCCCTGCTAACCTGTGCTGCTCTATCAAACAGCGGTCACTAACCATGCAGGGTTCTAGATTTTTGATAAATTCAGCTCCTTAAGTTTTATTTAACTCTCTTTTTAAAGCATCTCTCTCTGTCCTTCCTTTGTGCTTCTTTTGGTCAGTTCTGTGTACTTTTGGGTATGTGGATTTCAGGTTATTTCTAAGGTATGACACTCGTTTCTATCTGCGGATCAACTGACACATTATTATTAATTTTAAATTCTTGTTTTACAAATACAATCTTTACTTTTCCACATATGATTTCTGATACTTTATTACTTTTTATACATATTCAACATTTATCATCCTATCCTTCTTAAGAGCTATATAAGTTTTGTCTTCAACCTAGTTTAATTAAAGATTCACCTTGTTTTAATGTTTATATGTTACCGTTGTCTACTATTTATTTTATAAAAGTTCTTGCACTTTTTGTTTCCAATTTTCGGTTGATTCTGCCTCCTCGTTCTGGAAAGGGCATTATGCTTTTCTGCTGCTGTTTGTTAATTTCATAACATGTCTGCCTTGTTCTGCTGTTGTCTTCAGCTACTCTTTTGAAAACTAATTAGACCTTTTTTTGCCATTCCTATACCTATGTTCAAGCAGCTTTGACTTTTAATTTTAAATTTCAGCCTTTTTCTGCATTGGAACCCTTACTGCTTTTCAGGTTTAGCTGTGACAGCTATTCCACACTGGCATTTTTCGCACGGAAATGCAACTTCCTTTTTCTTAGGTTTCTATATTATTATTTTTATGCCATTTTCCGTCTGTTTTTGTGGACTCTTTCTAACTCCTTCATACCTTCATCCGATTTTCAACAAATTTGGTTATCAAAACGTTTCAGCTTCTTCTGGGCTAGTTGTGTGAACTATGACTTTTTGGTTAACTTAGCTAGTATACTTTTTTTAAATATTTTAGCTTTTTATGATTTTTTTGGCCCAGAGAAATTCAAGGTTATTGTTTAATAACTTTCAAAAATTCCACAATCGTCAGAGCTACTTTGCCTTTCAACTACTTCAGCATACTTTCAGCCTAGAGAAATGAAACACCATTCAACTTTTATTTAAAAATGTTTCCGTTCTTCTGCTATTAATGTTTAACTCGGCCGTTCAGCTAACTGTTACTGTTTTTGCTTCTAGTGAAGCTTTCAATCTTTTAAACAATTTTTATTTGTACAGATTTCAAAATTAATAATGGAAACAAAGTCTATGGACGGAATATGGTTCAAGCCAGCTAGTGGTGTTGCCACATCTAGCGTTTTTTCAAAATTTCTTCATGGCCGAACAGCCTTCAACTCACTCGCTCATTTTTTACTCTATCTAGATAACTTTTAATTTTACATCAATACGTGGACTGGGGATTTTTGTCAGGATTCAGGAAATTTTTAACTCTATATCTGTGT